AAACCATACTTTATTTGTTATCCATGGATATACATCTGACTGACTTGCTTCTGTATTTTTGGTTGGCATGAATATTGTTGCTCTCTGAACTTTCATATTAGTTTTTTTATGGGCATATATATATTTTACTGTTCAGTTCATATACAGGGATTGAATTGCTAGGTCATCTTGTAACTCGGTGATTAATCTCTTGAGAAACTGTCTTATTGTCTCACAGTATGCTGTTACCCATCAGCAGTATGTGAAAGTTTTGCTTTTGGCACATCCTTGCCAACTCTTACTACTTCTTTTTCATTTCAGCCTTATAGTAAACAAACTAAATTGTCATCTCACTCTTGACCTTTATGTTAAGAAGTCTGCTAATCTTTTCTATTCTCTTACCATCTATTGTTTTTTAAGATATAAAGTATTGTAGGGGCCAGTGAGATAGCTCAGTGGACTAAAGTGCCTGCTTAGGCAAGCTTAGGCAAGCATAGGGACCACTGTTCGATCCACAGCACCACATGCCAGCCCTGACCCCAGGACCAGCTGAGCCAGCCAGAGTCTGGGCGTAGTGGTGCACACCTGTAGTCTCAGCCTTGGGGAGACTGAAAATGAGAGGATCACTACGAGTCCAAGCTGCATAATAAGACCCTATAACAACCAAATACATTTAAAAAAACAAAACAAAATATAGGAGACCTGCACATTAGCTCAGGTGTTTAAGTGCCTGCTGAAACAAAGCAGTCAGGCTCAGGATGCTGTGGTTTAATCCCCTCATCCTCAAGCCGAACCTAGACCTTCCCTGAAGGTATCCTGAGCGACCCAAAAAAAATAAAAAAAAACCAAAAAACCAAAAACACATAGCTAGCTAGATAGATAATATTTTACAAAATCAGAGTGCCTCAGAACAAATTACTAAACTTTATTTTTTATAATTATGCCAAGAAAAAGACTTTGATATGGAAGATGTTAACATATTATGTGTCATGTATCAGTCTGATTAAAACATGGAGTAAAATGAGGCTTATATTTTAATTAAGCATCAAGCACTTATTGATCTGATGCTTCAAACAAGGTGTGGTTCTCTGCCCTTTTAGGGTATGTAAGGATGCCAGTGTGTTTATAAAGGACTGTTAATGTAATAGAGAAAATATGTGAGTCTAAAAAGGGAATTATAATTCAAAAAGTAAAATGAAAATTAGAAATCAAGATGTGTGGTATAATGGCAGTGCTGTATACAAACACTAAACTAAGAGTCTTCATAAGGAAAAAACAACCTGTGAGTAAATAACATAGAGGTATATAATTGCCTATTACTTGGGTTGAAAGATGTTGGTAAATTGTTTTTCTTCTGTTTTCTTTTCTTTTCTTTTTTTTTTTTTTTTTTTTTTTTTTTTTTTTTTTTTTTTTGTAGAACTGGGGATTGAACTCAGGCCCTTGTGTGTTTTTATTTCTATGTTTTCTAGTTTTCCTATAATTACATGCAAATTTATTTTGAGATACCATGACATTGTAAAGTATTTCTATCTTAAACATTTTCTGTATATAATAGTTAAATGGCACATAGGTATATTTCACATTCTTAGTGAGAAAAGTTACATAGCCATATATGGATTTGTTATATGGCTTTAGGGGTTGATTGCAGAGCCCCACACAATCTAGGTGAATATAATGTTATGTTTTAATGTTATTTGTCTTTTGTCGACATCTGCTGTCAAAATTCATGTATGAGCACACCTTTTGTTATTCTTATATATGATTCTTTTTTTCTTCGTAGAAATCTATCAAATGTGGAAGAAATTGGAACATGTTCATATATTAATCATGTGATCACCATGACAACACTCTATATTCAGCAAGTAGGTATAAATTGATATATTCCTTCTTGTGGCTTTATTGAGGTATCTGAGTTACTTTTCTCTTATTGCTGAGACAAATACCTGACAACCCAAAATTAAAGAGGGAAAGGTTTATTCAGCTCACAACTTGTGGTGGTTTCAGTCCATATTCGGCTGACTCTGAGGCATAATAGCACATGGCAGAAGGCAATAGCAGGACTGGTGAGATGGCTCAGTGGTCTAAAGCACGTACTTAGAACAAGCTTAGCAAAGCACAGGGACCGCGGTTCAATCCCCCAGCACCACATGCCAGCCAGCCCCGCCCCCTGGTGGGCTGAGCTGGCCACACACACACACACACACACACACACACACCCAAGGCAATAGCAGCAGCAGCAGAGGCAGAGCAAGAGACAGACAGCAAGCCTCTCTTCCTTCCTTAAATTGTATTCAGGCTATCTGCTCCAGTTTGGGTATAGCACTCATACCCATAGTCTCAGCATTAGATCATGAATTAGTCACAGACTCTAGAAGCTCACCACCCCATGACGGTGTAAGGCTTTGGGGGGACAACTAGACACAGATCATAACTTGAGGCTAGATAGATTTTACTGTATGTTATAGTTGATATAGTTAAATGTTTTAGGAGAGGTTAAAAATTGAGATAATATGTTATCATTGGGTAATTTGTATTTCAGAAATCTTATCAAAAGATAGATGAGTAGCTACTAATACGTTGTTTCACTTTAATAATTAAAGTGTTTGGGTTTTTTTTTTTTGTGTGTGTGTGTGTGTGTGTGTGTGTGCCAGCTGAACTGTTTCTGGCCCCTAAAAATTTAAGGGCTTTTAAAAGTGGCTTTTTAGAAATGACAGTTTGATTTTATTACTTGTCATAGCTTATAGCTTATTGAATGCATTATTTTTTCAAATAGTATTTGACTGTTTTTAAAGGTATCATGAGAAACTTGAAATTTGAAAGGGTTATAAACCCTCTGGTCCATATGATTAAATAACCTTTAAGAAATCATACTTATTTAGATAAAATTATGTATTGTTAGATGATGAATGGTGAATGCTGCTTGTCTTGATATATTTAACTTTATTCTTAGTTAAAAAGCAAGAAAAAAGAGAAGGAAATGGCAGATCAGACGACTGTTGAAGAATTTGTGATTCATGCATTGGCATTTTGTGAAAGTTTATATGATCCATATAGGAATTGGAGACATAGAATTTCAGGGTATGTCAAAAGTCATGTTCATTTAAAACCCAAAAGCCATAATATGTGTAGTTCTTAAGAATGTCTTCTCTATGAAAACAAGTAGAGGTATACATGACACACAGCTTAACTGTGAGATAGAAAATATGAATTTATGATAAATGCTTTTCTCATGTATGTGCTCTAAACTTTACTTGGGTTTGTTTTTTTTAAATCTTTTTGAGACAAGGTTTTGCTATGGAGTGCAGGCTGGTCTAGAACCATTACCCAATAATACTCACTTTTTAGCCTGAGCTGGCCTTGAATTCCCAGTGATACTCCCATTTCTGCCTCCTGAGTACTTGGGATTATACGCATGGGCCACCATATCCAGCTGAATTTTTATTTTCAAGAGCTGTTGAATACTGACAGTTTGTAAATAAACATTAAAAGCTCAATAATAAAAATAAGAGTATAGGATGGCCAGATAGCCCAGAAGATTAAAG